TTATATATATATACACACACACACACACACACACACACACACACACACACATATCAAGATACCATATATAGCAAAGGGGTATATTTGTGTATATACACATTTTCATAAATGTGGACATCTGTTTTCCACAGATTCTCCATTCCTACCTACCTAAATCCCCATACGAAATTGCTATGGAAGGCTGAGAGGAAATCAGTGACATCAAATAAGATACAGCATGGAGGGTTCCAAGATGTTCAAATGGAGGTACTTTTCAGTAAAATGAAGCTATAATTGGCGGTATCCCAAGTTTTATTTATTCATGGGGGTTTCTTAAGTCAATTATTTGCCATCAACTTCAAATTTTGGTCACTGAAAGTTCTATATTTTTATATATCTATATTTTTCTTCAGTACCACAGCACTTCCAGGGAATCCTATTGATATTTCTGATCTTTTCCTTCTACTTCCTTCAACCTTGATACAATCATTTCCCTCTAATTTGCTATTTGTTTGTATTACACCACCCAAAGTATGTGAGTTTCTGCTCGCTAATTAGGGCTTCATTGGTACAGTCAATCTTTATTGTTTTTTACAACCGACTTAATATTATTGTAATAGAAGATCTTTAATTATTTGCATGTTTTAGATATTTTAAAAAACAAATATACCCTATCATTCTTCCATATTCCACGATAAATAATTCCACCTGCAGTTGTATGAACTCCATATCCATTTCTCTCAAGAATTCCATCAGGTGTTCTTGTACAGTCACCATCTAATGAATCAAAAGACAATGCAGGAGGGAAAAACCCAGTAACAAGTTACTCAATAGAATTAGTGATGTATTTTTACTATGCTATAAAAAAATTATCTGGCCACATGGTATCATGCATCTTGAGAGTCTTGAGCTAATTTGGAATTGATAACCTAAAGAAGGCATGCTGAATTAAGTCTCTGGGAAGTTCTATTGAAGTCTTGACAGAGACTTCAATAGAGAGAGTTTGATTGCTCTCTCTAATCCCTCCACTACAGAAGGAGAGCCATAGCATGGGATCAGAACAATGGTCATTGAATGCTTTGGGAACTCATTGATTATAGGTAGTTCATTCTTGGTTATAATAACAGAATTAGGTGGCTACCCAGATGAATCAGCTAGCTCAGACTATGAACCAATTAGTCCAGCAGATGGGACAAACTTACTGTTTGTTTTTTTACCGTTGAATCTGACAGCTCAGCATTATGATTAATGCTGAGGTAAATTCAGCACATCATGTAGACATGGCTTATGATAATGCTATATTTTATTTTCAATACTGCTTTCAATAACTGTAGTATTGACAGTGCAACATGATTTGATAATATCATTCAAGAAATGTCATACTTTAGGGTATACAATTAAATGCAGTTAGATATTCACTAGCGGGAAATTTCTTCAAAGGCACTTTCCTATCTTTCCCAACCAGAATTTAGAGAAAACTGAGGAAATCGAACGTTAAAACATTCCTGATATTAAAAAACTCATCTCAGCCTATTCTACTAGGACAGGCATGCATAGTAGATTATATTCTAAAATAATTCATTTGCATTGTAATGTTATTGTCTCATTTACAGCACAATCCTATTTTTTTCAAAAATAAGAACTGTTGAATTTATTTTATTGCAAATAAGCGCAACACAGCCTGGATTGGAAATAATTTGTATAGATTTTAATAATCTTTCACCAACACATTGTAATATAGCATCTGTAAATATTTACCATACTTATCTTGATTTGGAAATATAAATGATATTTTATAAACTTCAGAACCTGTTGAGAAAGAATATACTTTTACTGATCTTTAAATGTATCCTTCAGCCTAAATATAAAATATAAATAGAGAGAGTGAGTTTGATGTAGTGGTGAAGATACTGGCATAGAAATGAGGAATTATTGAATTCTTAGTTGCTTCTCATCAGTCCAGCCCACCTCAAAGGGTTGCTGTTACTTACACACACACACACACAAACACACAAACACATACACAGATGCAAAGGGAGTGAGGGAGAGAGAATCATCATCATCATCTGCTCAAGCTTAGTTCATCCTTCCATCTGTCACCCATAAAGTATTCTACACTTAACGGATCTTTTGAGTGCAAAACCACGTTAACAGACACATCAACATTTCACTGGAGAGGTGTGCAAATTCTCCCTGTACTGAAACTGACATAACTTTTTGACTTCGATCAAGAAACACTTTCTTTTTTGTGTGCGTGTTTTTGTTTTCAAACAATCATCCCATTGGAATCGCTACTCACCGGACATAACTCGGAAAGTGCAGACGCGGTTGCTATGGCGACAAGATCTACAGGAAGCGAAAGCTTTTTTACTTCCAGGTCACGGTGGAGTCTTGGCTTCTGCCGGGATTCCGGGCGGCAGTGGCTGTATCTGCTGAGGGTAATTAGCAGGAGAGACAGAGGTTTGTCATTATGGGGAGGGCGGGATGATATTTACAGTGCCGTTCGAGCGATCTTTTCTGAGGCTGTAACCTTCCGTTGGCTTGCTAGTCTTTTAACAACCGGGCAAATGTACAGAGAGTTTAGAGTAGTGGAGAGTCCCCCGGACTGAAGAGGGGGTTTTACAACACGCATGCAGGGAGGCTGTAAGTTTTCTGAAAATGTCTCTGGAAACGCTGGACATGAGATGCTTGCAAGTATTGAGGGAGACGAGGAATTTCAGTCCGGTGTATATATAGTGTTTAAGTGATGCAATATGGCTTTTTTCAATAATGGTAGTGGAGTGTTTTTTGCACAAGGATATCTCGGGATTGGCCCCTTAAATTAATGGCACTGAGGAGTAGATCTGACTTAAATCCACAAGCTTATGCTACATTAGTTGAATAGACTGTGCACTGGTTGCCAACTACAGTTCTCTATATGGTTTTCCCTATTTTCACTGTGAATACTGAGGTTCTCTCCCTCACCGCCAATAGTGAGCATCAATATGTAAAGACAAGGGTGTCAATCTACATTTCCTTGAGGGCAGCTTCAGGATTGTGTTTGATTTGGAGGGCGTGGGGAGGGGTAGGCGTGGCCAGATTGGGTGTTTGACACAGGCACAAGATGCATTTTTTCCATTCTTTCTTTCCACACTTCTTTACAACCACCATTTTCCTATCTCTTCTACCAGATATTACTGGCAAACATGTAGCACTATACTTCACTCTTGAGCATTTTGTTTCATGGTTCCCCCCCCCCCTTTAGCTAAAAAATGAGCTCAGCAAAGAGAAGAGGAGGACCCAAAAGTAGAGGAGGAAAAGGAGGAGGCACTGGCAGCAAACATCAAGGCAGTGGCAGCAAACATCAAGGCAGTGGCAGCAAAAAAGGATTGGATGAAATGTGGGAGGATGATTTCTACGTTTTCGGTAAAACAAAAGGCAGTGGCCACAAAAAAGAATTGGATGAAATGAGTGAGGATGATTTCTGCGTTTTCGGTGAAACAGAAGATGCATGCAGGTTAGCAAAATGAATTTATTATTTGGGATATGAACTGAATGTAGTATCATAGAATTAGGAGGCCAGAGAAATTAAGGAGATCTGAGCTTCATTTTGGGTTTATGAGATAATGGGATCCAAACTTTTATTTCTTGGCACATAAATTTCTGTGCATGGGGAAGAGGTGCTTGCTTTTTCAACAGGCAGCTCTTTTGCTCTGTCTGCTTAATGACCAGTCTCTTGGGGACTGTACCTGGGAGGGTGGGGATAAAGGTGTTGAGATAGATTATTATATGTGGGCACTTTGGTTAACTTCAACGATTTATAACCAAAATTGGGACCATGTAAGTCAAGAATTACTTTTATATGTTTTTCCTCTTCGTTGCTTTGGCAAGAGATCTTTGCAATCTTTCTTACGTTCTCCACCCTTTCTGAGCATTTGCTAACAGCAGAAGATGGAACTGATCTCATACCATGGTCATTTTAATCATAATTTTAACTAATAAATTTTATGTATTTTTGATATGCATTTTACACTACTTGACTGTATTTGTAAATAATCTTCTTTTTGTAGATCAGGTTCTGGTAACAGAGGAAATGGACAAACGAAGCCTGCATCCAAGATCAAAACACATCAGCAGACTCTTCATATGACTTCAGAAAATCAGAAAAGAGTAAAAAAACTTCTTTGTGAACTCCAGGAGCAGGAACTGGCTTCTAGTTCGAAGTGAGTTTTTTTAAAAACACAGCGTACTTATTCTTTAAATATGACATGCCACCAAATTGTATATGAACCCCTTTCATTTTTATAACTGAAGAGGCCTTTCACAGTGCATAATTATGGTATAAAATTAGCATATCTAGATTGTTGATTGATTTAGCAAACAAGATTTTGTACCCATTCTAGAAGAGGAAGCAATGTGTTTATTTAACTGAAAGTGGCTGCATGTTTTACGTAACAAAGACAGTTAATTTCTACCCTTGAACAATTAATAAAAACCACTTCCAGACTGAGGGAGAAGAGTATAAAATCCTTTTGTATAATCCTAATCCTCCAAATTAATTTATTGGTTTTAATCCTATAAATATTTTATGCTTTTAGGACAGAAATGTCAGGCATAGATGATTACAGTGAGTCAGATGATGAGCAGTCCTGGTCAGATGACGATGCATTCTCTAAAACCGATTCAAAAGCTGCTTCTCAAGCAATAGTGAACCATGTGCTAGAGACGGAAGTATCATCTTTTGCTGTGCATAAGCTTTCCAGGTAATTATTTAACATCAAAGCCACTGTATAATTTAGGAATCATTGTTAGAATGGATAGTTGCAGTTACTTGAAGGAATAACTGGCATCAGAATCTAGCAACTCATTAGTAAGACAATTTTGGCTTTGATTAAAACAAACACATTTCACGTTGTTATAATTATCAAATTACTGTCAATGGGCTGCTTCTTTCTAGAAATTCCAATTCTTTGTGTTATTATTGGGGCGGAGGGGTGGGCAAGGGGAAAAAAAACCCAAGTTCTTCATTCAAGTGAATTTCCTATCAACCCAAATACTGCTAATCCCTTCCTGGCTCTTTTATTCTGCCCTAGGAGATTTTTAGTAATTCAACTCTGCTTCATCAATTACTCAGACCATTAGTGTATCTTCACGGAATGCAAAATTTCATATTCTAAAAACAACCGCAGACTCAGATAACAATGTATTTTCTACTTGCAGAATCAAAGTGTATTATGCAATCCAGAGTAGCTTTTTCTCATAGGCTAAAATGGGCTAAAATATTCATTTTCAGAAGTAGTAGAACTACTTGCTCTTGCCCAGATGGCACTTGTATCCACTGTTTTCTTCCTCCTAGGTATGGATTTGATTCTGAGCATTGTCAAGCAGTACTGAAAACTTACAATGGTAACATTGGAGCATCTTTGGAACATTTACTTTTGCAGTGCTTTACAGAAAAGTTTGGAAAGGAAATGCAGCACACAGAAGCTTCTGTTCCAGCAAATATTAAAGATTGTTTTGAACAAAGGCAAGAAGAAGCTTTAGCCCTCCGTTCAATCTGCGGAGACAAATTTGTTGAACGAATTCGAAATCGAGTTTGGATTATTACATTAGAGTTGGCATATCTAACAAATATTCTCAGCAAGACAAAACAAGGAAATAGCATCACCAGTAACACAGTTAATACAAATTCCCAGAGTATCTGTAAATATTACCTTCGAGGAGATTGCAAATTTGGATTAAGATGCAAATTCAAGCATGAAACTTCACCCAATGAGAAATCACTTCCCCCCATTCGAGAGGATGCACATCTTAAACTTAGTGCTCCTGTGTACGAACTTGAAGTAAGATTTCCAGAAGATAATAAATACCCTTATCAACCACCTCTTGTGGCCTTCTATTCTACTAATGAGAACCTGCCCCTATCTTGTCGATTGCACTTAGCAGAATTCCTTTATGAAAAGGCCTTAATTTCATCTGAGTCTAATGAACCTGTAGTATATGATTTTGTAACATGCTTAAGAGATGAAGCTCAAGTCCTGAAATTGCTCAATAAGACACCCCACAAATACAGTGTTCCCTCACTGCCTCCAAAACAAACGTTTCTAAGTAGCTCTAATAATCCATATCAGACTTCTCAAGGTATGTTCATTTTTCATAACTCTTTATTGGGATCTTGAAAATCAATGTTGAATGCCTCCATTTTGCTTCCAATTGATATGATAATAGTATTTAGGTATTATTCCTACTCTGGTGGGCTTGAACAATATTATAAATAAATTTTGAGAGGAAACTTTGTAACTGATTGGATTTTTGTTTTTGTTTTTTTAGTAATTTGCTAACATGAATAGAACTAGGCAATTTTCAGTTAGAGAGAATTGTGCTTCAAGGAATGAATTGTGTGTAAGTAAGAAATGTCAGAGTTTGTACTTCAACAAATAAATTAACACCAAATGACAAAAAGATATAACTATTTTTTAAAGTAATATTGTATCACCCAAAGTCTTTCTAATGTATTGAGTTCCCAGTTTGGAGACTATAGAATTGAAAGAGATCAACCCAAGAGGGCAGATTTTCCCATTAAAACTTGCATTGGAGAATGAACCTTTAATATAATCCTGCATTGATCATTTTATTTGGATTAGCATTTTAGCATTTGCTGTTCATTAATCCAAATCTCATTTACAGTATTTATGGAAAGTGTACTATACCCTTTAATTGATACCTTCAAGTACCCTACAACAGCAGTCCCCAATCTTTCCGGCTCTGAGAATCAGTGATGGTGGTGGTGGAAGAAGGAATAATTTCATGCACATGTGTGCACCGTTTGCACAAATTCAGCTTTGTGAGTTTGCACACTTGCCATTTGTGCAGGATGGGTCCAGACAGATTGAACTGGGGGTTGGCGACCCCTGCCCTACAACATGTATCTTGAACAAAACATAAGAAAATTGTATCTAATAAAATCACCATTATAAACCTGAAAAGGCATAAATTTAAGAAAATTGATTTTAAAAAACTTGTTTTCATTGCAAAGTAAACATTGGGATACTATGGATGCGAGAATGATAATATCTACTCAAGAACAATAACTTTTGCCTGACTTTATTTAAGAAAAGCATGATACATCTAATTTCAGTAACAAATACAGTATGATATTCTTCTAATAAATAGAACTTCAAGTTCCATCATCATTAGCCAGCACCTATAACCCATATAATAGTCTTGTTTTAATCTGTATAAGCCTCTTTTGAGAGAGAAATCAATACTAGAATGATTGAAATGCTAAAATGGGTGAACATAATTCTGATCATGAGGAAACTGAAAGATATTTGGTAGAGAAAGTCTTCTAAAATGCAAGATAGAATCCATTTGATTGTGTAAGCTCCTATGTTCATTTCCTAGCATCACTAGGCAGAACTAGGAAAAATGTTCTTTAAGATCTAGAGAAGCAATGACAGTTTTCAATCAATAATGAGCTTGATAGAGCAGGCCTGATTATTTTTTAACTGCAGTCACATCTTATACTTACCTCTAGAGTGCCCAATTCATGGCTATATAATTTAAAGGAACTCCTAATCTGAATTTATTTAGTGTGTGATACATTTCTCCCATCTGTATCAAGGATGACCATCAGTGGAAGCCTGAATTCAAGGTATGGTGGGCAGGATTCCTGAGCAGAAATCTGTCAAATAAATAAACTAACCACTGGTGTACTGATCCCTGTGTCAACAATATTCATACCTTCCCCTTCCACTCTAAGTTAAACCAGTATTGAAGAAAGCACATGCTAATTGTTAAGATTTTTTTTAAAGCATCAACAGAAGTGGAAGCTGAGGAACATGAGAATGACCAAGGGGGCCTACAAACAGTTCATATAGAGAAAGAGAGTTACGTGAATTTCAAAAAGAAACTTTTATTGAAAAGCAGCACTCCATCACAATCTATTACCAAAGAAAATCTTAACATTTGCAAACAATTCCACATAAAAAAGGTATAGTTAGCTTTTAAATTGTTTTAACTATGAATATGTCGGAAAATAATTTGGTATATTGGAACTTTTTTTTTTTTACATATCAGGCACATTTATATTCATGTAATAACCCTTGATTGTCATTTTAAAAATCCATTATTGGCTAAAATTACTTTAATAACTGATTAAAAGTTGCAGTCCAAATTTATGGTAATTAACAGTTGGATCCCAATTAGAATTTGTTCTACTTTCTTGAGCTCCTTAAAAATCATGATTTTGTTCATAAAATGCTTCACAAATTTTTATTTATGTTGATTGCCTGCTTTAGTGAACAGTAAATATATTGTTACTCGCATATTGGAGGCTAATTATGGTTGCTGGTAACCTTGTGCATGTTTTTGTCAGTCTTCTAGGCAGTACCAAACCATGTTACAAGAACGCCAAAAACTCCCAGCATGGGAAAAGAAAAAAGATATTCTCAGATTGCTGAGCAAATATCAGGTCCTTGTTGTAAGTGGTATGACTGGGTAAGTGTATAATCTATGTCCAAACTTGAATAGAGGCTACATTGCACTTCATGTCTGATGTCTCAATAGGCCAGTACTCCTTTTTCATAATTCATTATAAATAAGGGAGAGAAGCCCAAAATCATATTCACAAGAAAGGAGGGATACTTTTGCTGTTTTTCTTAGATTAAGATTGACTGATCAGTTCTCCATCTTTCCCCAGTTTAGTTTAGTTGAAAAATAAATGTGAAGAAATAAAAAAGCCAGATCAATGTCTCTTTGTGTTTATAATTTACCATTTTTTGTTAAGACTTGATAGATAAACAGGCTAAAAAATAAAAAGAAGAAAATGAAATCTATCTATTGGTTAGATTATGAACTGCCAGCAATGAAACTATTGTAGAATTAAATGAAAGAGTAATCATACATTCTCTATGTATTTCTGCTAATAATTCAAATTATAATATAACTTTAGTAGTAATTACAGTTTAAAATGTCAATTATAAATACAATTAAATATAAAATTCTACCCTTTTTTAGAACATCCTAAAATTAAAAAGTCTGATTCAACGTTCTGTAGCATCTATGTCAAAATTATGTGAAGCAGAGTTCCCCAACCTTTCCGCCTTTGCAGATTGGCGGGGGTGGTGGTTGCACACAAGCAGCTGGCAAGCGTGCATGTGCAGCTCCATTTTGCATGAGCAGGAGGCATGCATGCCCACTGCTGCTTGTGCAAGTGGGGATGTATGCATGCTCTGTTGCTACTTCTGTGGCCAGGTTCTGAACAGCTCACGGGCCAGTAGTGGGCTGTGGCCCACTAGGTTGGGGGGCCCTGGTGTAAAGGAACCTCATACTTTTCCAATGGGAAGCCCCCTATTTGTTTATCTGCTTTGTAGAAGCGTGGCAAAATGTAATCCCCAAAAAGAAGGTTCCATTTTGGCAATGCAAGAGAAATTTCTGCATCTATTTTTTGGCCTCAAATTGTAGACTTTGTAAAAGTCCCATCTGTTTTGTACAGTTCAAGTTGCAGTCCTCAGCAGAAAATCTTTCATGAGGCTTGAATTCAGTCTTTTTTTTTCAAATTTCTGAATCAGCATTAGCAAATAGAAAAAAATTAAATGTATTTTTATTTCAATGAGCATGTATATAAAGGAAAGATTTGAGGCCAAAAAACCCTATTTATTTTATCCTTTTGATACTTTTATATTTCATTGATATGTGCTCAGTCTTGAGAAGTAGAATATTCTTTAAAAGATATTATCCATAGTTCAGCTTAGATCTCAATGATTTGTTATGTGCTGTTTGAGGGATGGGTGATTTTTTTCTTTGCAGATGTGGAAAAACCACTCAGGTACCTCAGTTTATTTTGGATTCCTCCCTTGAAGGCCCTTCTAATAAAGTAGCCAACATCATTTGCACCCAACCTCGTAGGATTGCTGCCATTTCTGTTGCTGAACGTGTAGCCAAGGAACGAACAGAAAGAGTTGGAATTACTGTTGGATACCAAATCCGGCTAGAAAGTGTCTGGGTTTGTTTTTTTCATTTTACATTTGTTGAAGTGGTAATGCTGGTAATGTGTTTTAATATAACTCTTTTTAATAAGTGAGAGAAAATATACATAGGTTTACTGTTTTATTTTCCCCTATGTATTCCTTATTGGATCTAAGAATGATACCAGTCATTTGAATATATTTTGGCCAGTGTGTTATAATATATTTTGTTGTGCAACTCCCAGAATTATAGGCAACTATATAAATTAAATTAAATTATTAAATTAAGCTCCACTGCCCTTTTGTCCATGTATGGAAATTACTTTTTCTCTGTTTAAGTAAGGAAGTGTTCCAGGTTGTTTAGTTATAATTATATTAGACTTTTGCATTCACTATTGTTCACCAGCCAGAGTCCAATTTACAATACTGAAAGATATTTTGCTTCATTAGTCATGAACAAGCTTTGTAGTTTTTTGAAATAAATAGGATAGAATTTAATAGGGTGAAGTATAAAATTCTACATCTGAATAGGAAAAAATGTAAAACCCAAGTATAGCATAGGGAAACCTGATTGGATCCGAGTGTTCTTTTTTACTATAAGATAAACATGAGCCAGCATTGTGGAATCTCTGCTGAAAAGGTAAATGCTATATTAGGGTGTATTATGAGCCCAAATCATGGGAAATATAAGTTCCACTCAACTGTGTTCTGGTCCATCAGTTGGTTTATAGGTTTCACAGTTCAAAAGGGGCTTGATAAAATTGAGCAAATTCATGCAGGGCTATAAAGATGGTGAAGGGCCTGGAAACAAAGTTTTATGAGTTAGCTTCTAGAAAAGACAACTGGGGAGGAGATATAATAGCAGCTGTTAAACATTTGAAGGGATGTCTGACAGAAGAGAATAAACTAATTCTCTAAGTAGGTGGAGACATCATCCAGGCATGGGTATGACTCCGTCAGGATCCAATACGACTGGGTCTACAAGTATTAAAGACACGCCCACTAGGCTCCTCCCCAGAAATAGACTCAGTCGATCCTTTGATTAGCTGTGTCTCTGTATCTCTCCTTGCTACTTAATCCCTTAATTTCTAAAATCTTTCCAAAATTCTCTAATTGGCTTTCTCTCAAATTTGTGTTTCGATTGGCTTTACTTTTTCGCTCCTTTAAGGCATTGCAGCCTCTAGGAGGCTTTTGCCTCTCTCTGACTTGCTGTCTCAGCAGCGGAGAGCATTAGCAGCCAGACTACAAGGTTTTCCCTCAGGCTCCTTTCATTGTCTCCCACCGCTGCCATGCTCCCCAAAAGTCTGATCTCTCTGCCGTGCCACCAAAGGCCAATTGCCAAGTGCCAATTGCTGCAGACGCACCACCCGACAAGATGATCACTGCAGCTGCGCCACCAGAAAAGCCGCTTCTAATCATGGCAGCCACAAGAAGTGTTTTGCACGCCGCTGCCTCTCCTTGCTGCCCCAGCAGTGTCCTTCGTACGGCTTCAATTCCGCTCCTGACGCCAGAGTGTTTGGTAGGCAGCAAATTGTTTGGCGATAAGCTGCCTTGTCGGTTTGCTACCTCAGCCCTTCCTCAGGGCCCTGTCTACCTGGGCGGCA